CGGTGTGTGTCTTGGTCTGGGACCTCGGCGGCCGGAGAAAAAATGAAATGGGAGAAGTAAGGGGATACCCCATTATTCCGACTCTACTCTTGGGAGGCGTAGCATAAACAGGAATCCTTATACGACGCCGGAGAGGGGTACATCCCTACACAGTGGCTCGGGCCATAATTTACGGGAGGGCGGGCGGCCCTAAATAATTTCTGTCACCCATTGCAATTCGAGGCTGCAATAGACTGAAAAATAGCCATGACCCTGTAAATTTTTATAATACAAGTATACTACATAATCACGATGTATTTGTAAATATAAGCGTCAAAATCAAAGCTGTTGAGGCAAAGATTATACGTTTTTCTGATGTTGTACGCAGATAATACATAAAAGTTCGGAAAGGTTAGGTCTGCTTCTAGAGAGAGAGGGGCAGACACACGCTCCTCCGCCCCGTCAAACATTTCCCAGAGGACTGACACAAGTCAGACAGTGTAGGACCAATCTCCAATGAGACCCAGACCAGAAAGTCCTGTCTCACAACACAACTCATTAAAAGAGCGAACACACCAAACAAATTTATATAAACCGGAAACAAGTATCACTAACTGCTAAATTAAGTGCATTTTCCTCGCAGGTTGCTAAATGTTTTGTGCGTGTGTGTTTATGTTGACAAGGAGGTTTAATAACTGTGTGCTACACAAAACGTGCAGTCGGTTTCATTTTCATCGCCGTTTGTAGAGTTAGCAGGGTATTTTTATTTTAACTCTCGTCCCAAAATTATTTTTTATCCTCCCCGACACTATTTTTTCGGCCCCGGAACGACGGGACGTCCTTAAGCTCGAGCCCTGATTGTGTGCATGCCGTACCTTGGCCCTGGCCAGCAGCTCAGCGATGAGCCGGATGGACTCCAGGTTGCGCTGAGCCAGCAGCAGCCTCCTCTCCTCCATGGCGATCTTCATCTGCAGCTTCTTCTGCTCCTCTTCCTGCTGCCGCCTCACCTTCTTCATGTTCTTCTTCTCTTCCTTCTCCCGCAGCTTCTGATCTCGCTTTCGTATCCTCTCTTCCTTTCTCCTCTCCTTCTCCTCCTCTTCGTGTTCCTTCTGTTTCCTGTAAAAAATATGAAGTGAACATCTGTGATCTCTGGCAACTGTCTGCTATGTGGTCAAACAGTGGAAATGCATCGTCACTTCTCTTGGTACAGTGAGATTCAAAGCACCAAAAAACTGATTGAGTATAGTTTGGTTTCAGAGAATGCACAAACATTCGCTGGCCTAAATCACAGAGTTACATCACTTTTCCGTGTTGTGCAATATAAGCTCGTTTTTGTCTTCCATCATACCTCTCCTCATCCTTACGCCGCTCCTCCTCTTCCTTCTCGCGTCGTTTCTGCTCCTCTCTCTGCCTCTCCAGCTCCTGTAACTTCAGCCTCTCCAGGCCCCTCCTCTTCAGGGTCAACTCACTCAGGTGCTTGTTGGTGTCAAAGGCCACCTGAGGAACACACATAGATAGGGATTAGCAAAAAGGTTCATTTTATTCATCAATAAGTGAAACAACATGTACATTTTCTAAGAATCACTTTTTATTCTAAGAATACTCCACTGTGTGCTACAATGTTTTATTGTAGTTTTAATAACGTTGCTGTAACGTGTCTGTGTTTTGCTTTGGTCATCCCAGACAGTGAAGCAAAATCTAATTTAGTATTGTAGAGAATGGGAATAATAAATGTATTTGAGTAACTCTGATAATCCACATTTTACAGCTTGATGATGTAATGTTAAATTACACAATGACAGTGCTTTGGTTAAATACAGACTTATACAATACTGATCATCAGGCATGGAGAGTCATCGTTGTTTTAAATAAAAGTAAGATAAAGCCCTTCATGTTTTGGCAAAAGCTGTTTACCCTCATTTAGATTTCACAGTGAAGCGTTATGCTGTGGATTAAGAGACCTGGCTCTCCCCACCCTCATTACCCTTGAAATGATGACGAGGCTTAGATTTTCATTCCACTAAAAGGTCTTAAAGCTGCTATGCGTCTCCCTGAACAACACAATCTAATTGCTGAAATCTGCCTATATGCAATATCACTGCAGCATTAACAATTCACTCATGGCCAAAACAGAGGTATGTGGAAGTCTGATAGGCCTCCGTGGGTCATTCAGACCAAGAATAGCATTGTGTTATAAGAACTTAATCAAAATGGACATTGTTTATGTTACAAAGTAATCTCCCGTCACCAAGTGTGTTTGTATGTCTCAGTGTTGTAGTCAAGTCACCAATTCACGAGTCCAATTCACGAGTCCAATTCTCGAGTCACCACTCTTCGAGTCCGAGTCACCCAAGGAGTGTCCGAGTCGAGTCCGAGTCATCATTACCTGTGTCCGAGTCCAAGTCCGAGTCACCCAAGGAGTGTCCGAGTCGAGTCCGAGTCATCATTACCTGTGTTCGAGTCCAAGTCCGAGTCACCCAAGAAGAGTCCAAGTCAAGTCCGAGTCACAAGTCTTCATGTATTCATCTTCGTGGATATATGTGTTGAAATGTAGCTGCTCCTCTATATTGCTTTTATCCTGTCATGTTATATTAATCTGTCTATTGAACTGCTGTGAAGCGAGTTTGGCTACAATTCTTGTAATAGGTGCTATACAAATATAAAGCTTATTACTAATATTAACATTATTATTATTATTGTAAATGACCTTTAATAGTCTAACTATATTTAAAATGAGTTACCTTTTAGAGAAGTGATTATATTTGTATGCCAATATTTTCCTATGGTAAAGTTTTAGTTTTGCACTTTTATTTTGATAGTAATAAGATCGGGACTCTTATTTTTGAAGGAACTTTTACCGGTTAAATCGGTTTACTAATAAAGATTTAGCCCCAGAAAGCATATGGCTACTTAGCATGCAAAATGACGTAATTCTGCATGTTAAGTAGCCATGTGCTTTCGTGTTATTGGCTGAATCTTTATTTATTGATTAGATCACGTTACTCGTTTAGTTAATGATAGTGTTCAAGACAGCCATGTCTGAACTCGATCCTTAGAGTAATGTGTTACGGAGCCTTCTCTTCAATATTGTTTCCACATGACGAGCATTTTGCGCAGCTCTTTTCCAATGTGGAAGCAGAATGTGTGAAAGCATACAGCAGGATGCGGGGTGTGTCTCTAGACTGGAACAGCGGGGCCCAATACGTGAACTCGCCTCACAGGTGCACACGCCAGGATAGAGGACATCAGACTCCAGAGAAAAGTTGCTCGAGTCCGAGTCCAAGTCAGAGCGTCAATGTACAAGTCGAGTCCGAGTCATCGTGGGGGGGGGAATTCACGAGTCCGAGTCCAAGTCAGCGTACGCGAGAATTCACGAGTCCAAGTCCGAGTCGCGTCAATCAGTGCGCGAGTCCGAGTCGAGTCACGAAAATCGGCACTCGAGTCCGAGTCCAGGACTCGAGTACTCCATCTCTGGTATGTCTGACCAACAAACTAACCCTTCAAGTTTTCCCATTTGCTTCATGGAGGACATAATATAAGTTTTAGATATAGTAATGAACATATTTAGGATTTCAAATAACTTAATCAAGCTTCATTTTGTGCACATGGTCACGAAGCTCAGTAAGCATTTAAGGTATGATATATTGACCATCTCAAAACTGCAAAAGTAAATAACCATCCTTTTCTGCATAATGTTCTTGTACAGTACTTAACAACCAGGAGAGCCTGCAGTACCTTGATGTTGCAGGCCACGGCCTTCCCATCGTCTCCTTTCAGCATCAGCTTCATGCTGCGCAGGGTGTCCATGGCCTTGGTGAAGCCCCCGTACTCCTGGTACTGGACATAAGCCTCAAAGTTCAGATGACCCCCGAAACTGAACGTGTTGAAGTTCTTGTCCAGCATCTCCTCCCTGTACGGGTCCAGCATGGGGATATCTACATTCCGCACCTAGAATCAAAAAGTGGCATATTGGTCAAATCAAATATGTTATTTTTGGTTCAACCTCTAAATATCGATGATGCAACAATATAAAACACATGACGTTTACTGATTTGGTCAGTATTCTCAATCAAATATGTTCAGCAACTCTATCCTTTACATGTACTGTATGTGAATAAAGCTATCTATAATGAGTTATATTATTTTAGTCAAACAAATCCCAAGAACTTTTTCCCATGAAGCCTAGTGGAACAGCTCCTTATTTCAAGAAAACAAATAACAACATGTAGATTTCAATATTCAGGTTAAGTTCCTGTTCAACATAGAACCAGAACATTTCCCACCTTGCCAAATGTCTCAAAGACCGCAATGAGGACCTCTTCAGAGGGCCGGTCTGGGAACGGGCTGTCCTTCTTGCTAAACCATCGGCAAGGAATTCCCTCCATGTGGATGGTGTCAGGCCTCTCCCCCGGCAGAGTCTCATTCATGTCCTTTGCATCGCGGAAGAAGGAGTCCCAGTCGTGACGTGTAGGGAAGTCCACTTTGTTCTCTACTGCACGAACCTGAGGAAAGAGGGAGGGGAGGGTCAATATACAGTTTATTAGGAACAATTAAATATATCTAAAAACCTCCCTGCGATGGATTATATTTTAGTTGAAGCCGTTTTTGAGAGGAATTGATTACATTTTATGGGCATTTTGGTGATAATGCAGAGAAGTACTTCTTATATTTAGTCATTGATATAAATGACGTGGGCAAAAATATAAAAAACATCTGTCGGTACAATAAAATGTAACTCAAATGCGCCAAATCTGCAGCCATCAAAATATCAAAGTAAGTACCGGGAACAGACGCTGGGATCAGCAACATAACCAGCAAAGCTTCAAGATAGGCTTTGTGGTCAACACTAATGTCAGCCTTACCTTCAGTACATCAGTAAATCCACTCAGTTTGATGCTCTTTCCATCTAAGCGGGACAACAGGCTCTTGACCACTGTCCTGTTTTCGACCTCGCCCTCAAAGCGGATGAAGTCCATGGTGCTCTTGGAGATCCGCAGGGCTGAAAACTGCTCTGGAGCTACCATGGCCTTCACCCTCTCCATCACCTCCCAGTTGGAGATGCTCTTGCCTGGCAGCTTGAGTTGGGGCAGTGCCACACTGACAGTCATTTTAGCAATGGGCTTGAGGTACAGGTTGTACTCAGAGGAGAGGCACACTGCCTCTGTAGTGTCATGGACAATGGTGGTCATTGTGGCCGACATAGTGGAGAAAGCTGCAGGAAGATGGAGAGACAGTGAATACTGTTAGCTCATCATAGATGCTCTTGAAATAATCATAAATGACTTAACTATTTTTAGTTTATTCACGTAACAAACTAAATCAAGCGAGACAGTGATTTGAAATGTAAAAATGATGGTTCACACAGACGAGTTGATACTAATACAATAACAGAGTGCTTTCCAAACAAAACTCCATTAAAAAAATCAATGTTTATCGGAAAACACACAGGTGGTTATTTTTATTTTATTTAGGTACACATCTAAGTCAGAATGCAGCGCTTAAATGTCATATTAGGCATTTAGTTTACAATAAATGTCTTTGTATACAGAGGTTAACATATTCTTAGGGTAGATAATCACAGTTCTTTATAGTGTTGTCACGATACCAACATTTTGGTTTCGATACCGATAACAAGTCAAGAATTGCGATTCCGATTCTTTTTCGATACTTTTCTTAAAAAAAGGAAAACATTCTTAAATGTAATTATTGTGCTTTATTTCACACCAGAACCATAACCATAACACAAACGTTTAAACAATGAGAACAATACATTAAATAAATGACTAGAATTTGTATTAAATACAATTAAGCATCATCTATAAACACCTTTTTTGTTTTTCGCTTCTGCCGTCTTTTTTGTCAAAAAGCCGAGGCGCAGCCGCAGTTGCACTCCCACTTGCAGCCTTGCTGCTCGTTTTCTCACATGCTCTGGCAGCTAGCGCGTGCACGAGAGAGGGGAGGACCTTAGAGCGTGCTGAACACACACGGCTCTTATTAAAACGGCGCTTTCTCACCGGAGTACTTTTCCCCGTCATTCTTAAAGTACCGATACTAATGAAACGGAGGAATCGTAACGTTTTTAACGGCAGGGTATCGCGGTACCTTTCAAGTATCGGTACACCGTGCAACACTAGTTATTTATGTCAGTTATCTTAAGGGATTTGCCTGATCAAATCGTCACGTTTTAAAACAACTGTTTAGCTAACATTAAAACCTGTATAAATATACAGTATGTGCCTAAAACGTAACTAACATGTTATGTGGCTAGGATAGTTACTAACAGCAATAGTGGTGTTAGCTCATGTCAATCTTAGGGAAATATTCTTTGTTTGAACCACTGTGAACGCAACACAAACGCTGGTTGTATGCTAACATGTAAAGGCTGTAAGCTAACTGGTCGCTAGCGTTATGCTACATCCCACAGGGAGACACACAATATACTAGCTAGCTAGCTGCCGTTAATAATAACAATGTATTGACCATGTTGGACAAGAGATAAACAAATAGCCAAGTGAAACTTGCAGAGGTTAATAGAAAACCAACTTAAATGTGTGTTATTTCTAGCTAACGTTATTTGCAGGCGAGTTAGCTTACAGTCATAAGTAACTCTATCCACACAATTACCTTTTGAACAACGCCGGAGAGCGTCAGTTATGAAAGTAGGTTTCACCGCCTCTTGCCCAACATCCGTCAGCTTTAAGGCTAAAAACAAAAACGTACTGATTTCGTAATGTAAAAGACTGTTCTATAATACATCCATGGAATAATCATAGACAAACTACATGCCACTTCCGTATGCAGTAAACTTTGACCCTACAAAGAAACAACGAGTATCAGCATCATAGTGGAGCTTGTTCAGAACAGCGACTCCATGTGGAACATGTGCAAAGTACACATCAGGGAAATAATATATGGCAATAAAATTGAATATTATTGATAAAATCATGACAATGTGTTGCATCAAAGTTAATCAGTTTAATTGAAATCACCTGTGTTTCTGGTGTGTAAAAAATGGGTAACAATGCATTGCATGACTTGAATATGACTGCTGTAAGCCTATTGTAACCCCTTGAGGCAAATGTGTGATTTTGTCATATAAAAAAACCCATTATGCAAACAAATATTTCATATAGTTTAAATAACTCATTCACATTACTTGGAAGTCATTTTGTTCTCACTTTGACATGAAATGGCTCTCTGATGATTAGCATCATCATTTCGTTACAGTTTTTCAGGGTTGTAAAGTAAAATATAAATCATGAAAACAAGTTACTTTTGTAGACACTGAATGTCACAAGGCGAACAGAAAATCAGGCAGACAGTGAACATTTGTTTACAACTTGATGGTTATTTTTGTACTTAGTCACAAGTTAGGCGATGCATGTCATCATGGCTGTGGTGAAAGTTAGGGGAAAGTGAGAGACGGGGATAGATTGGACATGGATTACTCCAACAGCGAACGGCCCCAGGCTCAGAAGTTGGCACAGTTTCCCCTGAAAAGATGGCAGAGGAATTTACATAATAGGCATTACTCCCTTCACTTTGTATGTAGGTCAGTAGCTGCAGTCAGACAGTCTCTCTGCTCCATCCAGATCAGCAGTCATCTAGCAGATAGGCTGCCCTAGAGCAAATAGGCTGAAATCTACCGTCCCGGGGAAAAAGCTCATCCCTTCAGTGACTTCTAAGAATCTTGTTTGACGAGTCGACTACAGCAATACCAGAGTTCAGAAAAAACCTCAAAAGAGCAGACTGACTCAAGAGCTTTTACATTTTTCACAAGCAACCCATTTGAATTTAATGACTGCATACATGTAATCCTGCCTTTATATGGCAGATTTGTTCTGGTAAACATGAAGTAGAACTAGGGACTAAGAAACACATCTGTTCCAGCAGAGCAGATTTGTTATGTCCAGTACATTAATACAAATGTACCATCCCTTTTATGATAGCATATGAATATAATTGAACTAGTAAATTTTATACTTGTTGTTGCCTCTTATCCTCGATGACATACTGGGGGATAACATGCTCAACTACGTGGCTTACAGAAAAAAAACAACCTCCTCTGTCAGACTCATATGCCAAATGTAGTGATAAAAATGATAAACACCTTAAATACAGTTTATTGGTTTTGCATTTGCATTTAAAAATACATTCTTAACCAAAACATGTCCAGTGCAGGCTCAAAGATCAGATCAACATAAATGCTCAATAATCTTGTAAAAGTGTTTCGTCCTTGGTACAGCAGCGCACGCACGCACGCACACACACACACACAAAATATTATTGTGTAGTGTCACATGGGCAGCTTGCGGACAGGAAGGAGTGGATATACTGTAAATGGGGGCACAGGGGTCATCGGATCATCAATTATTCAGCACCAGCAGACAACAACAATCACTTGGTGTCCAGCAGGACTGGCAACAAGAAAGCCTGCTTCGATTTGAGTCACGACCCATACTGGTTGAATTAGCATTGACTTCATGTTCCTACACATCATGTGTATTTGTTAAATTGGCACAACAGTAGCATAAAGGGAGAGCACTGACTTTTATGCAAACCAGTAGTGCTTTATTTCATTTTCAAGGATGAAACATAAAGACAAGATAACAGTGGCTCAGTAACAGTGTATTCACAACACATAATAACTTCACAGTATTTCAAACAGAAGATGGAACAATGACCTACAGTACAGACATACAAATGATCAGTGCACAGAATAATGTTTTCCCCTATTCATGCATCTGAAAAAGTGACATCAAAGTAGGCTACATACATTTCTAAAACAAAAGAGTCAGCATTATATTAACATGAAGCCCCATGATTTGAGTACAAATGCTACAAAATACTAAGGGAACATTCTTAAACACTAGGAATAATCAAATATATGAAAGGATCACGTATTTGGGAAAACAGTCAAAAACTCAACGTGCTCCTCAGCTTAACATACAGTACAGCATATAATGGTCTGAACTCTTTACTATCAACAGATGATGCAGACATGATTGATGATTGAATGGTTGTGTACATGCAGAGCAATACAGGAGGAAGATACAGGCTACTTATCAAATATAAAATCTGCTCCAGAGTGGTAAAGAAGCATCAGGTTGTTTGACTGTGGATTTACTGTCAAACTAAGCAGTGCTATGCTGTTTGTTTATGAAAAGACCTGATTAACCTTTCACATTATAGGTACATTACAGTCAGTAGAAAACCGACATCATGTGCTTAACCCTGTGAAACAGTCCTAAAGTGTAACTGATCATTGTCTTCATAGTAATTGGATCCAAGTAAATCCATGGCAGCTTTCTTTTGATGCAAACTATTGATCAGCTGTTCGGAAATGTATAATACAAATTGAATTGTAGTGTATATATACACAGTGCATTATTAATCTAGGAGTGTAACATTTGATCGCCCTTTTCTTTCATGTACAATATGAACCAGCATGATATCAGACCAATTACATCTGGCTTAGTTTGAGCAGTTTCCTCTCATAATCACAAACCATCTTCAAAGTGACGAGTGCAAACGCAACGACTGAACATGGCAGTTTGGACATACATTGGAGTTCTCTGGTTACAAATACTAAAATCTGGTACTTAAAAATAAAAATTCACATTCTTGAAATGTGTTTTAAAAAATCAGCACCACTCAGGCAAAAGAGGTTGAAATATAGGAATGTGTTGTATGAATATATTACTTTCATCTGCACGCAAAATAATGGTTTGGATTAGTGTGTTGAATCTGTGTTGAAGTGCTATAACAAAAACCCTCACCATTTGGAGTCAAACTTAAAGTGAAAATGTGATACAATCCTGTTGCATTTGTGTGAACAGTTTTCTAGTGTAAAGTGTAAAAAAAATGTTTTCATGTTTGCTACCTGCTCTTCAACCGAGACTAAGAAATAATGAAAAAGAAAAACTAAAACCAAAAAATTCAAAAGGAATTCAAAGAGTAGTTGCTCAATGAATTGTTGTAGCAAATCAAATGCTACATAAACTGTGACCTGCCCTCAGTGATCATCAACCTCGGCCTGATTACTGCAATAAAAACAAAAATAAGTTCGATTTTTAGATAAACATAAAAATACTATAATAATAAAACTTAGTATGTGTGCGGATTGGTCTAGAAAGGTCTGACCTGTCATCTTATAAAAGGGAAGTAAACTGTATTTTGTAAATCAACGCACTATATTTCAGAGCTGTGTTACTTTATCCAAACAGGTTGGACAGTGGGCGGGTTCGGATGGGGCTGCTGGCGAGCTCCTCCCCCCTCCCCATCTCCCCCGTGTCCCTGAAGGAGGCGCTGTGGATGATCTGGGCTCGGTGGCGTCCGCGGTGCAGCCGTGCGTTCAGCCGGCTCAGAGACGACTTCCTCTGCATCCCCCCCTTGTTCTTCCCGTTCCCGGCCCCCTCCTCCTCAGCAGGTGGGTTCAGGAGCCGCAGTGGGTTCAGATTGCCCTGAAGGACTCTGGGAAACCGCCATCCACGTGTTCCGCTGTTACCTTTGTTAGTGTTTTCATTGTCCGACTCAGCACCCGGTGAGGTAACCACTCCCTCCTGCTGCAGGTCAGCGGCAATGGGCGGGGCCAAGTACTGGATTGCCCGCCTCCCGCTGTAGTCTCGAGCCTCAGGGTCCGCCTCCCAGTCTGACAGCAACACACGGACCACCTGTCAATCACAGCACATTAAATACACACAGAAGAGGAAATATTAAAGGCTTCCTATTATACTATTTTTAGGTATATACTATGGGTCTCAGATATATAAAAAACATGTCTATGAACTGTTTTGCTCAAAATACCAAACAGATGTCCCATTCTAGCCATGCCTCATACCCCTCTATTTCAGCCATGTTACAGAAGTGCTGATTCTGGGTCAGTAGCTTTGAAAAAATAAAAACATTTGAAAATAATAATAATAAGGAGGGGGGCGGGTGGGGACCCCACCCGCCCCCCTCCTTATTATTATTATTTTCAAATGTTTTTATTTTTTCAAAGCTACTGACCCAGAATCAGCACTTCTGTAACATGGCTGAAATANTCGTTCTTTTGTGTCTCACGCTGCGCCTCCCCTGAAGCTCTCTGGCGCCCCCCAGGGAAGGCGCGCCTCACACTTTGAAAACCGCTGTATTAGAGGGTAACAGGTTGCAGAGAGGCCTAGCCCGGCACCTGGAGTGTGGAATGTAGCCACTGACCTACTCCTATACCTCTAACCAATTCAGGTTCCAGTGGGGACCGTTCTCCCTGCGTGTGCCTCTCCACCTCTGTCTCCTACTTCTTACTTGCTACCCTTTTCCCTCAACCTATCCTAAGGGAGTGCATGTAAGTAGACACGTTAGTTTAGCTGCTATAGGCTTAGACTGTCGGGGGACACCTTACTTCTTCCTTCTGTCTGTTTGTACCTTGTGTAACTCTAATGTTCCGATTAAAACCAGCTTCCCCCAAATCTCTTTTTTGTGTCCATATACTGTATACACCGGGATCCTGAGTCGAGGCTGATCCTGTTGCTGTGGTCGTGTGTCCTGGATCCTCTATCCTGAGTATTGGGTCTGAGTCCTGGACTTCGAGTCATGGCTGAACCTGTCTCTGCGGTCCTGCCTGACTCTCACCATTTCCCTGATGGCTCCCACAAGATTGCTGACATCCTCGTGGATTCATCTTCTTATTATAGACACATGCATTTCCAAACATTTGGTCTTTCCAAACATTTGGTCTACCTACGCTGTAAAATGTATTATCTCTTCGATTTACACCCGGCATCTATTGCACGTCTGCCCGTCCTGGGAGAGGGATCCCTCCTCTGTTGCTCTTCCTGAGGTTTCTCCCATGTTCCCCTTTAAACTGTGGCGTTTTTCTCTGGAAGTTTTTCCTTGTACGATGTGAGGGTCTAAGGACAGAGGGTGTCACATTGTCATACTGATATTCTGTACAAACTGTGAAGTCCACTGATAAAAGTGTAACATTTGTGATATTGGGCTATATAAATAAACATTGATTGATTGATTGATTGATTGATTGATTGATTGATTGATTGACTAACTCCTTCAGATTATTTTGAGACAATTGATTATCTCCTCCTTAATTTCTCTCTATTTAGACAGCCGATGGTGTGTCTTGGCTTGCTTCATTTCAAAAGAGGAACAAGAATATAATTTCATTTCAAAACAAACCCCCAGAAAGGCCTGCTTGTCAGAAAATGTTTATCGTGCAAAGTTACTTAAACTGTATATCTAATTTCTGCACATTCACACTTTGTAATTGACTCAAACATTGTCAGTATCCACACGTTCTTGGCAGCTTTATTTTCTTACACTCATAGTTCATTATAAAGTGGTGTTTGCTTAAAGACTAACATTATGAATTATTCATGAGCATACTCTTTTTTTTCTCCTGGATCAGGTTTTGTTTGCTCCAAACTGTCACACCATATTTTAATTATTCGGCTGCCTGCCCAGATTTATAGTGGAAAAACAAAGAGATTTGACCTTAAAGGGGCAATCCTTTTGCCATTTGAGATCAAAACACTTAAGACTTTCTTTACTTTCTCTTCAGCAGATTACTCGCAGAAGTTGGCAGGACAGTTGAGAATAGTCACAGAAAAACAACTGCTTATTATCTCACTGTTTCCTTCTTTCTTCAGTACACACCAGTTAAGGTCAACAGTTTTTTTTTTATCAGGCTCAGTGAGAACCGGCCATAAATACACGTTTAAAAATGTCTTGATGTTATTCCTGCTCTCTCTTACACTTAAATCGATACATATGACTGTGAGTGATGCTCCGAAGACAAAAACCAGAGCAGGTCCATAGACAGTGAATCAGAAAAGATTGTGGAGTTAAGTGGTGGGGCTTCCAGAGATTTTTTTCTGCAGATATAACAGCTGACAATGCAACTAAAGCAGGGGTCACCAACTACATTTGTCCAAGGGCCAAAATTAATCCAAGAAACACTTTCAGGGGCCAGAGATTTATATATATATATATATATAAATCATAATAAATCACATGATTAATATGTTCTCTTTGTTGAAAAAACTATCTTTTTTTTTATAAGCCTGTATCCGGGGTAATACAACTGAAAGCAGTCCTGATTGGCAGGGAAAGGAATCAACTTTTTTATTAATAATTATTATTTATAATGATTGGTGGGAAACGGTTGCAGGATATAAGAAAATTGTTTTCCAGGCACGCATATACCAAATAATGCTTGCGCTGCCATTTCCCCACATAAACATAACAGTCTACAATGAAACGGTTGTCTCCTGTGTGCTCCACTTCCTCCTTGGCGAACCGGTAACTTTCTTGTTAACCCGTTTTGGTTTAAAAACAGAATAAGGTTGGTTTTTTGGTTGTCCGTTTTCTGCTTTTCCATTTCAATTTTAAAACAGAAAAACAAAAAAAAACACCGGTTTATAGTTTTTCCTATTCGGTTTTGAAACGGAAAAACCAAAGAACGAACCACACACGGATTAAACATAAACTTCTCCTCGTATTTTTCTAAATTATTTTTTTATAAAAGTAATCATCATCTTTATATATATATATATATACAATATATCATATATTATCTATACAGCACCTTTGGGAATGTAGTGTCTCGATCAAGGACACAACAACGTTTTTTTGACGAGCGTAGGGCTATAACCGGTGTAACTCGAAGTGACATGAGTGGGGGGCGAACGCACTAACCACTCCGCCAACGCCACTGTCACCCCTGCCGTTCGGGCGGGATCAGAATGTTTGGCAAGCCGGATGTGGCCCGCGGGTCGCCAGTTGATGGTCACTGAACTAAAGAGTGAAGCACAGGAATTTAAGCCTGAGAAACAAAGAACAAAGAGGGTCTTCCTTTAATTTGTTTGTATGAACTTGGTGGCATACTTTACATTTCTAATGTGTCAAATTGAGACTGAAGTTTATTTTAAACAATAAAAATTTTTTATTTACATAATCAAACAAATGTGTCACAGTGTTGATGTCAAAAACATCAATGTATTGTGTGGTGGAGATGTCGGTTAAATTAGCATGCAACACCAAATGTTCCTCGAGAGGCGATAATGAGTCAATTTAGCAATTGTAAGGCTGTCCACCTGTTTACCTGGTCAAAATGTAACCTCAGAATACAAAAACTACTGCCTATAGGTCAATGAACCTCTGAATTGGCACACTTAACTTATCTTTTAAAGTCTGTGCTCAGTTGAACTGGACAAGTGAAGACAGACTTCTTCTTTAGGTAGCTTATGCAGTGCTGGGTGAAATGAGAACTCTCTGATTTGGCAAAACACAGGAGGGAAGCCCCGTTAATCAGGTTACCAGTTAGCCTGGTTTTCACATCCAAGGATTCAAATGTGGCACTTCTCATTTAGCAATTCATACAGTCTGGTTGTGCCCCACTATGACATACTTTAATATATGGTTCAAGTGCCTGCATAGGCTTAATGACTGCTTGTGTTGTTGCTGTTTGTAGGAGAACACAATACTTTTTGCAAAGTTAACTACAAGAAATAAAATACTTCCTTATGTTGAGCTATACTTCAGAACACAACCTGCTGATCCAAGCCGTTGTTGTACCAAAAAGTTGTTTTGAAAATGGGTCCTATTTTCTTTAAGTCATATATTGCAAATTGACAAGATAGACACTGTTTTTAGACTGTTTCTCAAGGTCAAAGGTCATAGAGGTGCAAGTGGGGTATTTATTTTTTGATGTACTGTATGATCTGTGAACAAGTGGGAACACATCAAATAGACTGAGTTAACATGCATTTCTGCCTTTTATTTGTTTTAGAATCATATGTACCTTGTCAATTTGATTTTTTTTAACACTATTACTTTAACAACCACATTACAATAATCCTTATACTTTGCTGTAGTTCAACTTATTCATGTGTATAGTAATTGCAAAGATATGCTTCCAAAGTAGCTTCCGCAACTCTTACCCTAAGTTTCCTCACTGGATGAGACAGCAATACTCCATTTTCAGTATCCGACATGTGTGCTACAAAATCACTCCTCTTTCTTTAGCCTCCATGCTGAAGTAGGCTGCACCCGATCACACCGCTCAAACACAGGGTGCAGCGTTGCCTTTAGGCGTGAGGAAATAAATCAGCGCTCTGTAGGTTTCTCTCCTGTAGAAATCAAGGTCATACAGTGTCTTTAAAATCTAGGACAGTTCTCCTCATGAGACGAGCTGCTCATCCACCTCGTGTTACCAGGGTGGCAGAGCAACCGCTACATAACTGCACCACCGTGTGCACCACCAGTAGAAATGTCAGAAGAGCAGGGGAGATTTATTGTGCAACTGTATGTAACCTTTCATACAAGTTAATCTCATGAAACGAATCAAATGTATACATATCTGAACTAACAGGAAACAATTTTAAGTATCCTGGGCATTACATTGCGCACTCTGATGAATTTGTGGTGTGAACAGCCAACCTGCTGGAGGTCTCTCAGAGCAGTTTACTGCTGAGAAATTGATGGACCGTGGTGAGTATTTTCTTTTCTTTGTGTGCTTACTTTGTGCCCTCCAGTAATTCCCTCTGAGAGACGTCAGCCTAGTTGCCCAGATTAAATATCTCTGCCTGTAAGTGGTCGGTCTGAGCTGCCATGCAACTTTTCATGAAGTAGAAAAGGAAGTCGACCTCGCTGCAAACACTTCTTAATAATGTTCAGGCAGTATAGACGTTTCTAAACCCCTCACTTACAGAGCTTTACATTCAATACTTGATAGTAGTGTGAAAAACACACAAAAGCCTCTGTAAACAAGCACTGGTCTCTGTTGGAGGCCCTCTCTGTCAGATAGTTCCCAGCAGGATACAGTCTGATCAGCAGCATCTTGTTGACGGCTTGCAAACATCCTCAGTTCATCATGTTCAAACAGTAGGAGGCCTCACACCTCACATCACACAGAGGAAACAGGAGGTCCCACATCAGGTTCCTGTGTTGCCACCAGAAAGCAGATGAGACCTGTGTATGTCACATTCAGTCAATACACACATATAACGGTACCACTTTACTATACGACTAACCTTATAAATGGTTTACGAATAGTTTATAATTCATTTATTAATTAGGTTGTGAGCACTTTATAAATCATTAATAAGCTTTTATAAGACATGAGATAAACCGGGCAACTGTGACCGATTCCTTGCCAAATAGTGAGCCCACATTTATCTGTACTGCTAAGCCTTATATTGGCTACTTAGCTTACTTTGTCTTCTTCATCAGCCAACATCCTTGGTATCTGTTGTTCACTGAGTTGATTTTCCCCCTTCCATCTTGATGTTTCTTGGCATCTCTTATGACCATTTATGAATGAATTACTAACATTTATAACTGCCAAAAGGGAGCCTTATTGTAAAGTATAAAACACATTCCCATTTATGAATGAGTTACAACCATTTATAATTGGTAAAAGAAGTTAAACAAGTACAAACCACAGACTGTCTGTGTCATGGTGAATACAGTCGCTGCTTTATTTATGTCTGTATAAGGCCGTTGTTGTGAGTGTGGACGGTCGGAGCATATACAACGTTAGCTTAGCCGATCTCCATTCAGAAAACACGAATTTTAAAAGGTTTTTTGTCTGCCGA